GAAATATCAGGGGTCTGTCTGACCCCCAATATTTCCCAGAAGCCCCTAAAAGTAAAGTAAAAAATATTTAATAAAAATTAATTAATAAATATAAAAAGTTCATAAGAAAATAAAAAAATATTGTAAAAATTTGAAAAAATTAAAATAAAAATATTTTCGGTTCCGGCCTGACAATTTTTTTTTATTTCGGTTTCGTTTTGGTTTTTTAATTTCTATTTCGGTGCACCTCTAATTCTTTAAGATATTTACATTCATGTTATTATTTACTTTCCTCCTATAAACTTTTGCTAGATGGTTATGTTCAGTTATCCTTATAGATTTAGCTGATACATGTCATTTTAAAAGTGTATAGGATTGGAAGGTTTATTCACATTATGTGTAAGACATGTTACCATCGGGTAAATATTAGCGCTGGTAATTATTAAAATTTTCGTGTTCGATTAATCTAAATTTTTTTGAATCGATTAATTTCGATTAATTATAACGCACATACAGATCCAACTACATTGGCCTATACACATACAGCACATCAATGAAGTAATAAAATGAACTAGGATCACACTAATCCAGCACGTTATTAATCTCACGTGCCCCACTCAATATGGCCGCCGCTTGAGTGGGGCAACTCAGAATAATAACGTGCTAGATTAGTGTGATCCTAGTTCATTTTATTACTCCGTTGCTGTGCTGTATGTGTATAGGCCAATGCCTTGGAGTTTGGTCCACACTTGAAGGCACACTGACCAGCTGGGAAAATTGTAGAAGAAAGGATCGGTGTCAATTGGCAAGCTGCACAGTGATGTTCCCTTTACATGTAAGTATAACCTATTTAAAAATTGATAGGGCAGAACAAGTGTCTGGGCAAATGCACCGGCCCAAGTGGGCTAACGAAGGGAAGGGGGGAGGAGTCCGGTGGCGTTGATGTCCGTGACAGCTAACGAAGGGAAGAGGGAGGAGTCCGGTGACGTCGATGTCCGTGACGTTAATGGATCTCAGACGGGACTCCCGGAACCCGGCGGAGAGGTGAGTATTTTTATTAGCGATCAAAAGCATTTTAATCGGAAAAAAATGTCAGCGATTAATTGTGGAATTAATCGTTAATTTCCGCAGCCTTAATTATTACCATTTATCTTTACATTTCTTAAAAAACGGGGGGTGTGGCTTGCTGGCGCGCTGCATGGACGCTTTCATTTAAAGCTCCGTGCGGCAACGGGCCTCAAGGCTAATTAAAGCTATCGGGTCTTGCCCGCACCGTTCCGAAACACTCCTCTGCCTCCTCCGGTCCCCGGCCATGATAACAGAGGGGGAAACGGCCGCAAAGGCTGACAGATTTCTTCGGCCCTCCAGGGCGGCGGCGTGGCCAGGATGGCACCGGCTCCTCGGCACCAGATCAGCGTCCGGCACCATCTACAGGGCATAACTCTGGCGGTGCTTCTATGGGGCCACAGGCGTCATCGGGCTCCTCTTCTGGCTCATCCCAGCCCGACACTCCTGCAGACCGGTGCCCAGAAAAGACCAGTTAGCAGATTACATCCCCTGTAGATGGCCAGAGGGAGGTAAGCCAGCTCAATACATCCCTAGATGACACAAGGGAGTTGATTGCACCTATTGATGCCTACCCCATATCACACCAGCCCATCTCAGATTCCACACTTAAGGACATGATGGTATCCCTACGGAGTTCAATAAACTCAGATATGCAGTCTCTAATCACCCAATTCAAGTCCGATTTACAGCAAGTGGGCGATAGATTGTAACATATAGAGGATAAGATGAGGGAATTTGCCAATATGTTCAATGACCTAGTCGATGCCCACAACACTAGGGAGGATGACTATGAGTGGATGAAGGCCAAATTGGCAGACCTAGAGGATAGGTCTCGGCGCAAAGTGCGTGGCATCCCTGAATCGGTCTCCCAATCAAACCTGATGTCTTATGTTCGCGACCTTATGCATGACATACTGCCAGAAACTCCCATGGCGGAACTGGTCCTGGACCGCATCCACCGACTACCTAAACCGCCAAACCTACCGGAGAAGCTACCCAAAGATGTGTTAATGCGAGTACACTTTTTCCATGTAAAAGAACACTTTCTCAGGGCAGTGAGAGATCCATCCAAACTCCCTGAAAGCTACTCCCATCTACAATTTTACTCGGATCTGTCCCAACATACTATGTTGTTCCGGAAGAGGCTTGTGCCGGTCACCAAGGCGCTGCAAGACCACAGGATTCAGTACCGGCTAAACTTATAGTGTCCAAAGATGATGAAACCTACACGCTGTTCTCCCTAGAACACGGTCTAACGATCCTGGAGAAATGGAAGATCCCCCCCGGCCCACGACCATTCACATCGTCCGGCTACGTCTCCTAGCAAGATGGCGACATCCAATTGCAAGAGGGGTTCCAAGACGACGAAAGACCCAGACTGAACTTGACCTGCACTACTACCTGCTGTTTGCAAGCCTCCTGGCCCTGCTCGGCCATACTGTTCACCATGTGTGATACCCCCAATGCCGTGAGCAGTGCCAGCCACTGCAAGTTGGTCCCCAGACGGGACCTTTTTTTATTCACAAGTTCCGTTTTCTTGTTTCTTTTTCCTTCTATGTGCCGGGTGCGAGACTGACCATTACTACCTCTGCGTTTCTGTGTACTTGGTCGTGAGTATGGAGCCTCTATTGTTTTTCAATACCCCCCGCCACAATGCCTGTGAATATAATCTCCCTGAATGCTAAGGGACTTAATCACTCGGCTAAAAGGTCCCACATGTGGAAAGAGGCACGGTCCCTATCGGCAGACATACTGTGCATCCAAGAGACCCACTTTTCACTCCAAAATGCCCCAAAATGTTCTCATAGGAACTTCCCACATACATTTTTTGCTAACTCTCCGAAAAAGACACGGGGAGTCCTGATAGCAGTGAGGGACTCGGTTGCTTTTGCCGCTGTCGATTCCTATATAGATCCCAACGGCAGATACATTGTGTTGATATGTACTATTGATTCTGTTCTGTATACTATTGTATGCCTGTACGCTCCTAACAGTCACCAGGTTAGATTCTTACGTAGGGTGTTCAAGAAAATGGGTACAATGCGTCAGGGTCATACTGTAATGTGCTGGGACTTTAACCTAGCTCCTGACTCCCTACTAGACTCCTCCAATGTTACTAGAAAATCTTCTTCAGAACTTCAGCAGCTGCTCCGAGAGGTGTCGCTATATGACGTTTGGCGCTGCTTACATGCTTCTGAAAGATTTTACCTTCTCCTCCCCGCATAATTCATATTCTCAAATCAATCTATTTCTGGCGGACAAGCAGACCCTGATTAATATATCTAAATCTACTATTCATGATATTACATGGTCGGACCATGCACTGATCTCTCTGTCTATCGCGAGCCGCTGGAATCCCTCCAATGTATTTGTGTGGCGCAATAACATGTCTTTAATGCTTGTCCCCCAGAATGTGAGGCAGATTCAAAAAGCCCTGCGGGAATATTTCCTGCTGAATGAATCCTCAGTGGAGAGTGTTTGCAGCCTCTGGAATGCGCACAAGGCATGAGTGGGGTACTTATGAAATTGGGTGCTCAATCCAAGAGGCAGAGGTCCAGCCGACTGAACCATCTTCTAGCTCAAATAGAGACTCTGGAAACCCAAAACAAAGCTAATCCAACTGTCACTGACGGGGCCACTCTAACAAGGCTTAGACAGGACCTCCGCATATTACTGCTGGAACAGTTTGAAAAGCAAAACTCTATTAATAGGGCCTGCTTCTATGCCAATGGTAGTAAAGCGGGGAAGTTGCTAGCTACCTGTATTAAGATACTGCGTAGTAAAACAAAAATACTCCTCCACTCTGCTGACGGTCACAAGGTCTACCACCCGCAGCAGATTGCCGACATGTTTAGCTCTTATTACGGGGCCCTGTACAATCTCAAGGATGATGACTTGACTCCCCAACCGACAGCGGATAAAATCGACTCGTTCCTACTCGGCCTTGACCTTCCAGCCCTGACTGCCCCTCAACTCCAGCAACTAAATGCCCCTATAACAAAAAAATATAAAAAAAATGTAACATTAAAAAAAAGTCCCCCACCCCCACGTTTAGGCACATATAAACGTAAATATGCGTCAGCACGCGAAAACGACAATTGCGCTACACATGTTACATATTGCCACAATCATTTTAGGGCCATCAATCACTGAATAACACTAAACTGATGAACGGTAAAAGCTTTTACAGCGTCGCCTATGGCCAATTTTGGGTAATGTAGTCTTTTGAGGTTTTGCGCGTGTGCACAATTTTAAAGCTTGACATGTTTGGTATCTTTTTACCTGACGTGACCCCATCTCTTATATTTTACCAAAAAATTGGGTAATAATAAATGTTTTATAATTTAATATAGGGTAAAGGTTTTTTTTTTCTGTAATTTTTCCTTAATACAGTAAAAAATAAAACCCGCATTGGTGATTAAATATCACCAAAATAAAGCTCTGTCCCCAAATATTGTATAAAATTAATTTCAGTACAGCGTTGCATGACGGAATAAATGTCAGTCAAAGTACCGCAGCGCTGAATACTGAAAAGTGGCCTGGACAGGAAGGGGATTTAACACCGCGGAGTTCAAGTGGTTAGGTACCTTGAGCCACTGACTGGAAACAAGTATGCACGTCCAAAAATCTAGAGTAGTCAGAATGAACTCCATACATGCTTGAATCAGTCACAGTGACTTGACCCAATAAAGTCAAAGGTAGAAGCAGTTCATATTTTCACAAAGTGAGGTAAAGAACAACGCCTCTATGTTTCTCCTATCCCAGGTTACAAAACCCGCCCATTTCCAATTTCCACCATTCACCTCTCAGGAAAACCTTCTACCCAAAACTACAACTCCCAGCAACACCGCCGCTTCTCCACACACGTCATTCTGTTGCTACATCTTCCGCGACTGTACGCGATGAGTAGTTCTTGCGGGCAGGCTCCGCCTCTAGTTTGGCTAACACGGGGGAACTACATTTCCCGGCAGTCGATGCACTCCGTGGGTCGGAAGCTGAGCCTCTGGCTAATGATCCTTAGCAGTGAGTAGTCACGTGTGGCTTCCGCTGATCTGTTTTCCTGGGCGCAGAGAGGATCTCCTCCTTCCTTTGGCTTCCTTCATTCGGGTTTATTAGTTTTCTCGGCTCAATGTTTTGATCCACCGATTTCTTCGATAAGGATTTGCCGACATTTTGCTTTCATCGTGCGTCCAACTCTTTTGGTTTAGTGTATGAAAGTATGAGCGATAACGATGACATCGAGGTTGAAAGCGACGTAAGTGCTCATCACACTTCCGTTTAAGCTTGTTTGTTATGTATACACAGAGAGTCATGGCTGTGAGGCTTCATCTCTCTATTGTCTGACCATCTCACCTCATATGTGTGTTTATGAGAAGGAAGGGGGTGTTGATTATGGCCTGACCCAGAAATGACAACTTTAAATAGTGATTGGAGCTTCTTATTAGAAAAAAACTTGAGTTCAATCATGAGAGAATCATCCACATTTATCAATAAATCTGTATGGCATGAGAGGTTGATATTAATATAGTATGATGATACATGCAGGGTAAAGTCCATACCTAACCAATATACATTCAAATGACAGTTTTATAATGAATCCTAAATATCTATTTATAAATGCTATACGAAAGGGCTTATTCACACCATTGCACTGCAGTTATGTGCAATGCAGTATCACTTATCCTGAATTCCACCTGACGCACCTTCCCAGTGTACTTGCATTGCAGCGAGTATTGTGGTGCGCTGCAAAAATGCTGCATGGGCAATTATTGGCCCGTTGTGGTGCATTTGGCAACCTATTGACATGAATAGGTTAATACCTTAAAGCGGGCTCTTGCTGTGGTACAGTTTACAATCAAAATAAACAAGTCAAAGAACCAATATTACTATTTTCAAATCGGGGACACAAGCCTGGTCCGCAGTGGTTTGTTTACATGTGTTGCTCTCAAGTGCAGCAGCAGGAATTTTTTTTTTTTTCTTTTCAATGATTCAAGGTGATACGAGGTCTTGTTTGCTGATGTGTAGTGTAAAAATGTTGGCTTCATTAATGCCGAATATAAAGCTAAGGCTTCTTCTGGTGTTGTGCTTGAGAGTTCCTAGACTTGTACAGTGCAGGGATTGTGTAGTGTAGTGTAGTCGCTCCCTCCTCCATTCACAAAAAAGCTTTGTATTTTGTTAACAGACTGTAATAAAACGGATGAAGAGGGGATGCTTAACAGGATCTCCCAGTGTCCATTCACAGAACGCCCTTTGTTTTGTTCACAGAATACAAGTATTTTTGTGAATGGAGGAGGAAAGGACATGTGAAAAACATAATGCCTTCGTGTATAAGGGCATAAATTCTCAGTGCAGTGTTTTGTTCACATAATGTAAGGTGTATTCTGTGCGTAGACAATGGAAGAGGAGGGGCTGCTAAACAGGATCTCCCCGTGTCCATTCACAGAACGCCTTATATTCTGTACATAGGATAAAAGTATTTTGTGAATGGAGTAGAGCTGCAGCTAACGATTATTTGCAAAATCGATTAGTTAGCCGATTATTACGTTCGATTAATCGGGGTATAAAAAAATGGCTCCAGTGATGGACTACTAGTTTGTATTGAGATTGTAGTGCATCACGGGAGCAATCTTGGAGCGGTGGAAGTTAAAAAAAAAAAAAATGTGGTGTACAATATAGTGAAATGGAAAGTGTAAAATTATACAGCAATCAATGCAGAATGGCACCGGCTATAGAAGACTACAAATCCCAGCAATAGTACATTATACAGCGCAATGCAGAATACCACCAGCTATAGAGGAATACTACAAATCCCAGCAATAGTACAGTATAACTGGCAGTATTCTGCATTGCGCTGTATAATGTACTATTGCTGGGATGTGTTGTGCTCCTCTATACAGTGCAATGCAGAATACCACCAGCTATAGAGGAGTACAACAAATCCCAGCAATAATATATTACACAGCGCAATGCAGAATACCACCAGCTATATAGGAATACAACAAATCCCAGCAATACATTATACATACAGTGTATAATGTATTGCTGGGATTTGTAGTCCTCTATAGCTGAATGAACATTGCTCTGTATAATATATAGCGCAATGTACCATCAGCTATAGAGGAATACAAATCCCACTATCCCAGCGATACATTATAGAACACCATGTTGGGAGGGAAAGTGCAGGCTTCCTGAGCAGTCTTCCAGGAACTTGCTTCTGAGATCGGGCCTGTCTGTCGGCGGCTGTCATCCACCCACGCCTGCTCCTCCTTACTTCTTCTCCCCGCGTCCCTGTGCCGATCGTGGAGGTGGGTGGGTGGTCAGGCGCTGAGCAGGAGGTGGCGCGTGGAGTGCGGATGCAGGCGGGAGGGTCTGGCAGCGGCGAGCGTGAGGCGGTGTGTGGAGTGTGGATGCAGGCGGGTCTGGCAGTGGCGAGCGTGAGGAGGTGCGGCGCGCAGCATGTGTGGAGTCGTGAACAGGGCCAACTAATCAAAGCCGATTTAATCGATGATTGAAATCGACTTAGTCGATTAGTTGTTGCAGCCCTAGAATGGAGAAGGAAAGGACATGTAAACAACCACAATGCCTTACCTGTATCAGGGCAGAAACTCTCAAACACAGTGCTGTATTGTGTTCACAGAATGTAAGATGTTATGTGCATAGACAATGAAAAGGAGGAGCTGCTAAACATCAGGACCCCCCCCCTTGTACATTTACAGAACGCCTTGTATTTTGTTCACAGAATACAAGTCTTTTTGTGAATGTAGATGATGATGGGAAAGGGCCTGTAAACAACACAATATCTGGGCAGGAACTCTCAATCACAGTGCCAGAAGAAGAGTGCTGACTTAACCTCCTAAAAAACGGACGGACGGCACTGCTACATCTGCGGGTTGCCGTCTCCAGACGGCAATTTTTTTCTGCTAAAAAAATCCCATCAATATGCAGCTCTGAATGCTGGTATGAAATCATCTTGCATCAAGGCTGGACAAATCCCAGGAGCCAGGTTGCCAATGCTTCTTAAAGAAGAACTCCAGGATTAAAAAAAACAAAAAATGAACCCTTGTAGTGGGGCTACCAAAATAAACAAGACAGACTCTCCTGATCACCTCTCTCCCAATCCTCTCCGGCGTATGTCCCTCGGCGTCCTCACATCTAATGGACTGCATTAGATGTGATTACGTCATAGGTCCTTAAACTGCCAGAGCCCGTGGAAGAGGCTGCAGGGACTGTTCTAGCAGCCAGGCCAAGGATCGGTTGAGTATTTCTTCTTTATTTACGCTCCCTAGCCAAAACAAGCATGTACACCTTTCAGTGCTGGCTAGCCCCACTGCAAGGGTTCATTTTTAGGAAAATGTAAAGCTCACTCTGCTCCTGAATTCCATATTAATTTGTCCTTCCCTGTCTTACTTTCATTAGTTAAACATTTTTTGCTTTTACTTAACCAGGAAGTTGAAAAACTGTTTATGTGAGGCACTGGCGATGTATCAATGGCCTCACAGGAAGGTGACATCATAATGCCTTTCTGGCAAATCTCATCTGCCAACTGCAAAATCTGGCAAGATTTAAAGGACAAAGGCATTTTTTCCCTCTCCGATGATGTGCTCTGTCAACGGGACCTTTTTTCCTTGCGGATGTCGCGCAATTTTTTTTTTTCTTCTTCAATGCAGCCCGACGGTGTAGGTCGCGCGATCATCGCTGGAACTTCGCCCCGAACAGTCACGCTATCACGGCTGCGTGGATCCGCTTGTAAGGTATGTTGCTCAGTGTGAATGGGGCCTTAGTACAAATTCGCCACTGTCAGAAGAATGTAGAGCAGGGGTGGGCAAGCTCTGGCCCTCTGGCTTTTGTGGAACTACACATTCCAGGAAGCATTGCAAGATAGGCACAGGCTTGACTCCCACAGACGGATCCTATGTGGTATTTGTAGTTTCACCACAGCTGGAGGGCTGTAAATTGCTCACCCCTGATGTAGAGGAAAAGAGAAATAAGGTATGCAAAGAATAAAAAGCCAGCAACTATCTACAAGTGTCTGGTTGTAGGTTGTCAGTACTAAATCTTTCACAAGGTAACTTTGTTGTAATTTTTAAGATGATGGTGAAGTTCCTCTTTAATATTCAAAATTTTTACACTACACAGCAGCTCTACGCTGATCTAAGATTGTTCGATTCTTAGAGGTAACTAGTTTGTACCGAGCAGAATTCAAAGCTTTTTTTTTCCTGGTGTTACACTTTAATCCAACGGACATTAATGCACCACAGCGGACCGGGCTGGTGGAATGGGCACTGGCTTTAAAATGGTAATTTGTGTTATCTCTGTATTGAGTGAGGAAAGCAAGCTCTGTGTAAGCTCTAGACCAGGGATGGGGAACCTATGACCCTCCAGCTGTGGTGAATCTACAAATTCCATGATGCATTTGTCTCTTGAGTCATGTCTGTGGTTGTGAGAATCTTGCAATGCCTCATGGAATTTGTAGCTTAACCACAACTGGAGGGCCAGGAGTTCCCCACCTCTGCTCTAGACAGATCTCCAGTCGGAGCTTACCCAGGGGCTTTCTGCTCCATGTGACATCGCTTGGACAATAGCCAAACAGCAGCACTTTCACAAAAGGTGCAAAAAGGTGTATGTTATATTCTACTCCATACCCAAAGTCATGCCCTGTTCACACTATCATGTAGCGTGAATGTGTGTTGCAGTGACTGGCGTTTCCCCATTAGGGATGCACCGATGTATCAGCCGCCGAAACATATCGTCCGAAAATGGCACTTTCGACTAAATGCTGCTGGTGCCATTTTTCTGCTGATATAGCGGCGCATCTGTGCTTTCTTTCCTCCCTGCTGGGCGATGCTCTGTGTCCCAGCGGGGAGGAGAGAAAGTGTGACAGGCAGCCGATTGCTGCGGGAGGAGAGCGCTGTGAGCGGCCGGCATCTCTCCTCCCACACCGCTCAGCCTCCTGTCGCAGAGCGGTGTGTGGGCGGAGACAGCCAGCTCTGTAACAAGAGGCTGAGCTCTGCTCCCGCACCGCTTGCTCAGCCTCCTGCGACAGCTGTCAGGATGGAAAGCAAGGTACAAACACTTAGGGATCAGTGATCGCTGAGCTTTTGTAAAAAATTTAGGACCTTGGTTCTCAACTGGTGGGTCGTGACCCAAAAGTGGGTCGCGACCCCGTGTTCAGTCGGGCACCGCATGCCTTCCACTTTTCCAGGCGAGAGGCTCCTCAGTTCTAACGCCAAGCAGCCCTTCAAATATGCTGCCCAG